TGAGAAGTCTACTGGGGGCACTTCTCAGAAAGCTTCTGTTTCTCTAATAAAAAGGGACAAGGCACAGCTGGCATGGCTTTTACTCTTGGACCATGAGGTACAAGCATGAGAATGAAAGTCAATATACTAGTGATGGTAGAATGGAAGGATACAAAGAGCTTGGGTCCCTGATGGCACAGTTGAGCAGCTGACCCAGTGCTAAAGATTACCTTCCAATTCTCTTTTACTTGAGAAAATTACTTTTTGTTTAAACCATGAGCCAAATGCAATCCTAATACCTTTTATTCTGACAATAGTGCCCTTACTTTTCCTTGAGGAATCACCCTTCTTCTACAGTTACTCTTGGAATGAGAAGAAGCTGACTCTATCCCTTCAGCTCCAAGTATGGGCATTTCACCTGGACCAGCCAGCATTCTATATCCCTTGGCCACGTGATGGGTTCAGGGATAGATGTGTGACCCAAGCCAGACCAATAAGACTCAGTCCCTGGAATTAATAGAAAAGGACTAATCCTCTCCACACACAGGTTACTAAATAAGTGGAATGTAAGTCTGGAGTTACTGTTGACTACCCTGCCAGCTTACAGAGAGCCTGAGAATACAGCCAGCAAAGAAGGCAGAAATAAGAGACAGAAAAAGAGATTCCTAATGACACTGTTTATCTGGAACCAGCTAGGACTCAGGCCAGTCTTTATCTAGACTTTTTAGTTATCTGACTCAGTAAATTTTCTTCCTGTCTAAATCAGTTTGATTTGAGTCTCTGTCACTTGCAACCAAAATAATCCTATCTCAGCATTCAAGGACCTCTGATTTAGACCCAATCTATCATTCTGACCACCTTTCTCATTGTTCAACTACCCTAGTCTCATTCAATTCAGCAAAACTGGACCTGTTATTCCCTGATGTTCTGCCTTCAGGTGTGCTGTTCCTTCTACCAGAAATCACACCTTGTGTCTTCCCATTTCCAAAACCAACCTATTGTCTGAATGTCACCTTCTCTAGGAAGCCTTTGATTCCTCCAGCTGAAATTGAACTCCTCTTCCTTTCAAAGACTCCAGTAAGTTTATCCCCACAACTCTTAGGGCATCTATTTCTTACCACATGTCAAGAATCTCTGCATGCAGGAGCCTCACTCACTCCGGCATTCCCCCAGAGTGCTGAGTGCAGTCCATGAAGCAATTACTCACAAAATGTTTGCTGAATGATTATATGAATCTTTCTCCACATTGCAGCCAGAGATCTTCTCAAAACAGAAATCTCATCATTTCCTGACCTCTACTTGAGTAATCCCAGTGGCCTTCCATTGCCCTCAAATTAATGATCCAAATCCTTCACATAGTGAACAAAGACTTGCATCATCTGATCCCTCTCTATCCCTCCAGCTCCACTTTGCTTCTTCCTTTTCCTTCTCCACATTCCAGCCAAACTGGCCTTCCTTTAACTCACTATACTTGCCACACTCTCTCCTGCCACAAGGACTTTGCACACACAGGCTGTTCCCTCTGCCTGGCCACTTTTTCCACCGCTGCTTCCTAAGTCAACACTCACTTCTCCTTCAGATCCCAACTTAAGTATCATTTCACTACTTTAGGAAAGTCTTTCCTGACCTCCTCACTCTAGGTCGGTTCACAGAACCATGTTCCTTTCTGACACGGCACTCACCTCAATCTGTAATTATATATTCTTTAGGGTCATTCTTTGTTGCCCTCACTTAAATCATAAACTCCAGGAAAGCAGGGACCATGTCTGCTTAAACTCACCATTATAACTCCAGAGCTTAGCCCTGTGCTTGGTACACAGTTGGCCCTCAACAATAAATAAATATTTGATGGATAGATAACATACAAATTAAGCCTAAAAAAAAGCAGCTAAATTATATCTATAGAGTGATCACAAAACTATCATGTAAATACTATAAAAATGAGTAGGGGTGACAGAGAACCAGAAATAGTGAAATAGGGGGAAAGGTATGAAAATCTTTCTTGTGGTCTTTTTAAGGATGATGGTTAAAGCTTGGAATCATACAGAACTGGGTTCAAGTCCTAGCCCTGCCGTTTAATAACTGTGCACCCCAGCCAAACCATTCCCCTTTTCTATAGCATCAGATTTCTCAGCTGCAAAAAGAGATAAGGTACTTATCTCATGGGGTTGTTGGAAGCAATAAACAAGATAACACATGTAAAGTGCTTAGCACAAGCCCTACATGTAACACACTAACTGGTTACTGTCAGCGTTTTTATTACTGAATGTGACCATTAGAATGTAAGACTCTGAAAACAAAGAGGGTATCAAAGCTTCTGTATCCCCCACAGAGTTATACAGGCTCATCACAGTTCTGTGTTTATAACAGGTCCTCTAGAAACATTTGCTGCATAAATGAATCTGAATAAGTTGGAATTCATCATTTTCCTCTAGCTGGGCATCCAGAACCCGATGGTTCTAGAATCATAAGATGAAAAATAATAGGGCTAGGTGAAGAACTCATTTTTCACCCACAGTCAAGCTGCCAAAAGAGGAAGGATGTTGGTTATGCAATGTTGGAGAAAAAAGGAATAGACGAGACACTTACCAGCAAGGTGTCCAGAGCATCAATTAGAGTCAAGGAAAAACTGTGAAAGGACAAAAAAATCCCAGCTGCTTAGTAAGAAAATCAAACATCAAAAACTAAGGCTGCCCCAGATCAGACACTCCAAAAACTAACAAGAAAGGCACAGCAATATCTCTGCCAGTCCTACTGGCAGTCACAACAGAGAAGCCAGTGAAAATTGCTGGGAAACTCTGACCCATTTAAGGCACCTGGGAGGTGGGCTGCTGTGGCTGACTGTAGTTGAATATATCACCTACCTTCTCTGGCATTCTCCTCTGCCATAGGGAGGCACTATAAGATTGTACCTCAGAGCACAGGAATTTCCACATGTAGGAATTTATCTCACAGTGTGCAGAACTGTATGCTTGAGAACGCTCATGGCAATATTGTATTTAGAACAGCAAAAAGCCAGAAATAACCCAAATGTACTCCAGTTGAAGAGTGATTAACTAAACTGTAATACATTCAAACAGTGCAAAACAATGAGGTTGTCAAAAAGGTTGTTATCAAGAGTTCTGTGTGCTAATGTGAAGATACTTAAATTACACAATTAAATGAAAATGACAAGGTACAGAAGAGGCTGTGTCATATGTTTCTAATGGTATCTTCAAAAAGAGACATAGACAGAAAGCAGATTAGTAGTTTTTTGGCTCAGTGGTGGTGGAGGAATTAACTATAAAGAGCCACAAGGGAACTTTTTAGGGTTACAGAAATGTTCTCTACCTTGACTGTGACAGTGGTTACTATACACTTTAAATGGGTGCATTTTATGTAAGTTACACCTTTAAGAAGTTAACTTAAAAACACACACATATACATACCTATATGATCATATAAACCAAAAGTATTTCTGGAAGGATATACAAGAAAGTTAACAGGAGTTGGAGTTCTAGGGCATGAGAGATATTTATTTTTTTTATTATATGACATTCACTGCTTGAATTTGCCATTTGCTTGTATTACTTTTTTCAACTAAAAAACCAAAAGCCAGCACAAATTTTGTCTAGTTTACTTCTCTAGTCCTTAACATATTCATTTGTAAAACAGAAATAACAGCACTTAACTCCTGGGGGTGCTAATTAAATGAGATGACACGAGTAAAATGGTTAGCACAGTGTTTAATCAATGTCATCTTCAGCTAAATGCAGATTCCTCCCTCACTCAGCAAGGAATAAGACAGAGCATCCTATCTCTCACATATTTTTATTCTAGTGGAAGTAAGAAAGACAAACTAACAGACAAGTGAAATGATAGTATCAGAGAGTGAGAAGTGCCAGGAATAAAACAGGTCATTTGTGAGAGTGACCTGTTGGGGTTGGATAGTTAGGGGAACTGATGCTGAGGTGACATTTTGAGCTGAGATCTCAAGAAGCAGTCAGGGATGTGAGGGGGAAGTGTGTTTCAGTTACACTAACAAAGGCTCTGAAGTTTCCTGTTTGGGAGAGTTACATCCCCTCCTGGGCCTGTTTGCCCACTTATAACATGAAGGGGTTGGGTCTTCTGACTTCTTGAAGCCCTTCCACATATCCTAGACTCCAAGGATTTGCCCAGATCCCAACAGCTGATGCTTGTTACTGTTACGGCGGAAGCCCAGAGGTCCAGCCCACCAGGCTACCCCAGGCTTTTTCCACGATGGGATCCAACTTTCCAGGAGGCTGGGTGGATCCTGGTGTTGCTAGCCTGAATTGGAAAGAACGCGATCTCACCCTGGCTATGAGCTTTTCCGGAAACGGTAAGGAGACCATGAAGCCATCAACCCCAGCAGACCCGCCCGCCTAGGACCGGACGGCCAGATCAAGGCCACCCCCTTGCACTACCTGCCCCAGGTATCGTGCCCGTCACAGGTGAGAGGTCGCAGTTCGTCGTAGGGAAAGGCATTCTCCAGGTAGCTGTCGTAGGCGTGGTAGAACATGGCTTTAACTCGCTCCCTGGGGCGGAGTACGAGAAATAAGGCAGGGACCACCAAACGAAACGAGACAGGAGAAAAGAAAAAAAAATTAGGCGGAAAATGGCAATCAGCACCTGATTTCTGCCGGGAGCCCAGTGGCGGGGTCCAAACAGGTCAGGATGGGGGTCCTGGGATGGAAGGAAAGGGAAGGGACCGGGTCTGCGCTTCCCATTCCCCAACTACGGGAAGTTGGGAGCCTGGCCCCCTTCACCTGTAGTGGGCGGGGTCGGGCGCGGTGCCATCGGGGCCCGGTGCACCATGGTGCGGGGGCAGCAGCACGCACAGGAGGCCAAACGGGACGAGCAGCCGGAAAGGCATAGAGTTCGTGTACTGTCAGCGCAGCCGCCGCAGCAGCAGCCACAACCCCCAGCTCATCCTGGGAACCTCTGCTGGTTCTTCCGGGAATTCGCGCCATGGCGCATGCGCGCTGATGAATCAACCACTCACTTCCGGACTACAAGCCCCAGTGTGCAATGGACGGCGGAACCCAAACTAGGAGCATGTGGGGTATATAGTCGGTGAAGCTGAGATCAACGTGTCTTAAAGACAGTGGTATTACAGATACTAGTATTAATTAATGTCTTAGCAACAACATTTTTTAAGTTTTTATTTTTATTTAATTATTTTTTATTAAAGTGTAGTTGATATACAATATTATATGTTACAGGTGTATTGTATAGTAATTCTGGTTTTAAAGGTTATACATTTACGGTTACTATAAAATACTGGCTATTTTCTCTGTATTGTACAATGCATCCTTGTGATTTGTTTATTTTATACATAATAGTTTGTACCTCTTAAGCCTCTGCCCCTATCTTGCCCCTTCCCCCTTCCCTCTCCCCACTGGTAACCATTAGTTTGTTCTATTTATCTGTGAGTCTGTTTCTTTTTGTTATATTGACTAGTTTGTTGTATTTGGGGGGAGAGGGGAGGTAATTAGGTTTTTCTTTTTTTTTTTTTAATGGAGGTACTGGGGATTGAACCCAGGACTTCATGCATGCTAGGCATGCACTCTACCACTGAGCTATACCATCCTGCCTAGTTTGTTGTATTTTTTAAATTCCACATATAAGTGATATCATACAGTATTTTTCTTTCTCTGTCTGACCTATTTCACTTAGCATAATACCTTTCAAGTCAATTCATGTTGTTGCAAATGGCAAATTTTCATTCTTTTTAATGGCTGAGTAGTATTCCATTGTATATGCATATACCACATCTTAATCCATTCATCTTTGATGGACTTTGGTTGCTTCCATATCTTGGCAAACGTAAATAATGCTGCTATAAACATTGACGTGCATATGTCTTTTCAAATTAGTGTTTTTGTGTTCTTCCAGGAATGGAATTGCTGGGTCATGTGGTAGTTCTATTTTTAGTTTTTTGAGAAACGTCCATACTGTTTTCCACAGTGGCTGCACGACAAACAATGTACAAGGGTTCCCTTTTCTCCACATGATGCTAACATTTGTTATTTCTGTGGTTTTTGTTTGTTTTTTGATGAAAGCCATTCTGACAGGTGTGAGGTGATATCTCATTGTGGTTTTGATTTGCATTGCCTTGATGATTAATGATGTTGAGCATCTTTTCGTGTACCTGCTGGCCAGCTTCATGTCCTCTTTGGAGAAATTTCTATTAAGGTCTTCTACTTATTTTTAAATTGGGTTGTTTGTGTTTTTTTGATGTTGAGTTATATAAGCTGTTCATATATTTTGGATATTAACCCCTTATCTGTTGTATCATTTGCAAATATTCTCTTCCATTCAGTAGATTGTCTTCATTTTGTTGATGGTTTCTTTAGCTGTGCAAAAGCTTTTAAGTTTGATTAGGTCCATTTGTTTATTTTTGCTTTTGTTTCCGTTGCATTAGGTGACTGATCCAAAAAAATATTGCTAAAATTTATGTCAAAATTTATGTGTTTTTTCTAGGAGTTTTATGATTTCCAGTCTTACATTTAGGTCTTTAATCAATTTTGAGTTTATTTTTGTACATGGTGTTAGAGAATGTTCAAATTTCATTCTTTTACATGTAGCTGTCCAGTTTTTCCAGCACCACTTACTGAAGAGACTGTCTTTTCTCCATTGTATATTCTTGCCTCCTTTGTCATAGATTGACCATAAGTGCATGGGTTTGTTTCTGGGCTGTCTATTCTGTTCCATTGATCTATGTATCTGTTCTTGTGCCAGTACCATACTGTTTTCATTACTGTAGCTTTATAGTATAATCTGAAGTCAGAGAGCATGATTTCTCCAGCCTTGTTCTTCTTCCTCAAGATTGTTTTGACTATTCAGGGTCTTTTGTGTTTCCATACAAATTTTAAGATTATTCATGCTAACTCTGTGAAAAAAGCCATTGATATTGTTATAGGGATTGCATTGAATCTGTATATTGCCTTAGTATGGCCATTTTAACAATATTAATTCTTCCAGTCCAAGAAAACAGTACATCTTTCTATCTGTTTGTGTTGTCTCCAGTTTCTTTCTTAGCAACATTTTTAAGCACTTATTGTGTACTAAGGCTGTACGGAGTACTTTAAATATATTATCTCTTTTTTCTTAACTGCATGCTTATTAAGCATGAATGCAGACACTGGCAGGGATTCTATATTTATTGAGTGGATGTATGTAAAGATGGATGAAGAATGTCCAGCCTTTACCATAAGTAAGCATATTAAGTTTCCCAAACTAGTTCCCAGCTAATTGTGTAAGGTACAACTTACTTCCATTTATTTGTCCAAAGCTGCCACCCTTGAGATTTTTGGAAATCCCTTCCATTCTAGGTATTTGTGAATTCTTAACATTCCTCTCCTCCCATTTGGGATGGGGTCACATCATCACAGTCTCTTCAGTCCCCATCAGAAGGAAGAAGGTTCCCCCTCCCAATTCCCTGGACCATCTCAGTGGTTGCAGCCCAGAAGTTTATTCCAGGTGAGAATGAAGACCCTGGCGCACTATAGCTTTGAGAAGGTCAATACCCACTTTTCCATTTTCCTTCTTGCAAGTTCCCAGAGTTTGGTCAGTATCTGAGACCAGAGCAACACCCATGACTTTGGGCAGCGTGATGTGCCATAGAATCAACCCTGGATTTGAAGTGAGACCTGGACTTCAATCCCAGCTTTACCACTTAAAGCCTCTATTTGTGACCCTAGGCAGGTATTCCCCTTCTCTGAACCCAGCTTTTTCATCTATAAGTGAGGAATCTGAACAAATGAATCTTTGAGGTGCTCTTAACTTGAGCTTTCTGTAGTGCTAGAATTGGCTATCCTCTTTTCTGCTGAAAAAGAGTCAGAGGGAAGTGGCAGCTCAGTTCTTTGAGTTGGAATGAAGGTACATTTGGTCTCCTTTGGTCCAGCATCCTTGAAATTATCACTCAGATAAATGTCCTGAAATGCCATCCGTCAGTAGATACAAGAATTAAAACCCTGACTTAACCCAGAGAGCTTGAGGTAGTACAATATAGAAGCTTAAAGTGTGGGCTTTAGATTTGAGCACACCTGAGTAGGAATACTAGTTCCATCCACTAGTGTGGTCCCACCAGCTTTCCTTCTGAGCCTCATTTTACTCATCTATAACTAAGAATAATATTAGTATCTACCTAATAGGATTATAAGGGTTCAGTGAGCTATTACATGTAAAGTGCTTGTCACAGTGCCTGGCAGAAGAAACACATAAAAAATATTGGGATGCTTTTGAAAACTCTTCTTGCAAGTGCCAGATGGGAAAGGAGATAACAATAAACTGAGACTCAGATAAACAGCACAGGAGTACATATTAGTTTCCTGTGACTACTGTAACAAATTACGACAAACGTGGTGGCTTGAAACAACAGAAATGTATTTTCTCACAGTTCTGGAAGTCAGAAGTCTAACATTAGTTTCTGTGTGCCAAAATCAAGATTTTGGCAGGGCCACAGTCCCCCTGGAGGCCCGAGGGAAGAATCTGCTCCTTGCCTTTCTAGCTTCTCTTTGAGAAGGGAATGTTGTTGGAATTCCATGGCGTGTGACCATATCACTCCAATCTCTGCCTCTGTGTTCACATCACCTCCTCCTCTGCAGGTGTGTGTCACAGCTCCCTCTGCCTTTCTCTTATAAGGACACATGTGATTGCATTTGGGGCCCACCTGGATAACACAAGCTAACCTCCCATCTCAAGATCTTTAACTTAAACACATCTGCAAAGACTCTTTTTCCAAATTTGGTATACTTACAGATTCCAGGGATTAAGATCTAATTATCTTTAGGGGGCCATTTTTTTTAGCCCAGCACAAGTACTAAACACTTTTCAGGTCTGGGCCCTTCCATGCTATGAAACTCGTCCAGGCCTAATTATCCTTCTCCATATAAGTCCTATAGCTTATCTTTTTGTCTCCATTCAAAAATGTTTGCACAGAGAGTGGGGCCAGGTTGCCTAGATTTGGTAATGATAGGTCTCTTTCGTGGGGGGGTGGTGTGTGGATAGGGAAGTAATTAGGTTTGTTTACTTAATTATTTCTTAATGGAGGAGATGGGGATTGAACCCAGGACCTTGTGCATGCTAAGCAAGCACACAACCACTGAGCTATACGCTCCTCTGACAGGTCTCTTTCCATGAGCAAGACTGCTCAATTTTCACAATTTTTCTGTCTTCTTTTTCTAGCCTGATGACAATATGCATTTCCACACTGTCATGGAACAAATATGATGATGACTTATATTTTCACAGTGTATATGGCTGATTTTATGGTTTCTCATGAGAAAAAAATCTTTTTTTTTTAAACCTTCTGGATCACTTAGGTCTCTTTTCTCCTAGCTTTACCTCTCACTCTGTGGTCACATTAGAGTCTAGAAAGTTGTAGTCCACGAGAGAAGTGTCAGTCTTGAACATTTACTCATGAAGATACTCAGAGTAAGTTGCCTAATCACTCTAAACCTTAATTTCCTGATTCAAAATCTGGAAGTTGACAATGCTGTAAAGGATTTCTGGGAATTAAATGGGATAGTGGTGAAAATTCTAGCACAGTGACTAAAACATATTAACTTCCTAGTAAATATTCTCTTCCTTACCCCCATTCCTCTTTTTCAAAAAAACAAAAGTAAGGGCGTATTAATTAGTTCCATTTATTGAACATCAGCCCCTAATTATCCAAGGTGATATAGGCAATACTTTCTGCCCTCAAAAGTTTGAAGCATATTGTTGGGCATACAATGAAGATTACAAAGTAGTCAAGCCATAGACCTTTCCCTTGAAGTGCTTGCAATTTTGATAGAAAGGAAAGATGTCTTTTGGAAAATACTTGGAATTACAGAGTGGTCAAGTCTTCTGTGGGTGTCTGGAGGACACTCAGATTGTATCAATAGCCAAGGTCAGGTTTCTTGGACTCTGTGCCAAGTGGAACAAGCCTTGGACTTGTGGTCAGAAGGCCTTGGTTCTCTTACTGGTTTAGTCACTGTCTCTGTGTGATCTTGGGCAAGTTACTTTCCATTCTGGGGATTCAGTTTCCAAATCTGGAAAATGAGAGGATGCAACTACCTCTCAGGACAATGAAAAATATTAACAGATTCATAGTTATTGCAAAAAAAAAAGTCAGAAAACAGAATTCAACACACACCAACTGCAGAAAATTTCCCCCGAAACAATCATGAAGCAGAATAAAACTGTAGGACAACACTTCAAGTGAAATTTGATTATTTGCAAACTGAATAATAATAGTAGGAAGAAGAAAAAGAAGAGAGAGAAGGAGAAGGCGGCAGCCAAAATACATTATTAATACCAAGCATTTACATAGCATTTACTATGTCCCACGCACTATTCTTGGTACTACATGCATCAGCACCGTTGGTCCTTACCACCATCCTCTGAGACAATAGTATTATTATTACCATTTTAAAGATTTAAAAAATTGAGGCACATATCTTAGAAACTGAAGAGAGGTTTAATAACAACCAATGTCTCACAGTGAATAAGTGGTAGAGCCAAGATTTGGACTAAGACAGTCTATACTCTACTGCATTGACGAAGTTAATGACAATTGTATAAATAAAGGACAATGCAGAATTAAAAAGTGGAGATCTGATTGACTTTTGCAGTGTCCCCTAGCTTTAGCTTCATGTGAGCTTTAGCTACATTCAACATTACCTTCCTTTTTGCTGGAAAGAGTAAACATTTCAATTCCCTGAAGCTGGATTCCAAGACATTTTAGTTCTCTTTTGACCCAATACTCTTGACTACTTTTAGCAGGGAAATATCTGGGAATTCCTATTCTAGCATCTAGAAGTTATGTGGTTCAAGAGGATTCTCCCAATTCCCAGAGCAGAGCTTGCATCCTACATACTTACAGACTGCCAAGAAATAACTAGTTTATTCCTAGAAATTTCCCTTCTCTTGCTTTACAGAAATGCTTGAATTTCCCCTGTCCCCAGCATATCCAAATTTTACAGCACATCAGAGCCCCAGACACATTTTGTAGCGTTCATGTTCCACATAAACTTGGACCTGTGGGTAAATCTGCCTAGAGAAAACTAGTCATCCTGGTTATACTTAGGAAAATACAGAATCAAGAAGTAACCACAAATGGTCTCACAGTCTGGTCAGTCCCAGACCCTGAGTCAGATTACAATCTTTGAGTATCTCAAGCCCTGAGAATGGTGTCCAACCCAAATGGGCAATTCAAAACAAAAATAATCTTATGCTATAAAAAAGGGAGGTGACAGCCAAAAGATGGAACCAAAGCAAACATCCATCAATGGATGACTGAATAAACAAAATGTGATATCAATACAATGGAATATTATTCAGCCTTTAAAAAGGATGGAAATTCTGACACATGCTACAACTTGGTTGAACCTTGAGGACATGATGCTAAATGAAATAAGCCAGCCACAAAAGAACAAATATTGTATGATACCACATATATGAGGTACCTAGAGTAGTCAAATTCACAGAGACAGAAAACAGAAGGGTTGCCGGGGCTGGGGATAAGGGCAATGTGTTATTATTTAAGAAGTACAGAGTTTCAGTTCTGCAAGATGAAAAGAGTTCAGGAGATGGTCGATGGTGATGGTTGTACAACATTGTGACTGTACTTAATGCCTTTGAAATGTATATTTAAAATGGTTAAAATGGTAAATTTTATGTCATATGTTTTTAACCACAATTTTCTACATTGAAAAATGGGGAAAAAAATAAATGGATAGTGGTGCAACAAATTTATGATTTTTTCCCCATGATATCTACTTCTCTGCCTTTTTGGAAATATCCAGTACTTTCAAAAATTTTTTGTTCTTATGGGGAGAGGGGTACATGCCTGCTTTGCTGATGCCCAAAGCAGATCCTTTCTCTGCCTATTTAATGATACAGAATTAGCCCAATACCACCCCAGGCTGAGGGAAGGAAGAGCATAGGATCCTATGGGGTACCCACCTCAGTCTACCCGCTCTGTAGGTCCCAAACTCTGACACCAGAGAGAAGGAACAAAGCCTAATAGAGTGAAAATCCTCTCAGCAAATATTAATTGAGAGCTTTATAATAGTAACAGTGTCTGTTAAACTAAACTTACCAGTGTTAAGAAAACTATCTAAAACATGTGACTAAAGTAAAACGATGATTACGTGACCTTTTGATGTCACAATAGAGCATTGATTAGCGAGTCTACTTAAGAGTCATCTGCCCCTGAAGAGAAATTCAACATTATTTACACAACTGATGAGGGCCCAGACATTTTACAATTCTGTAACGTAGTGAGATATGATGATTTCCTTTTCTGTCTGGTACAGAAGATAATCCTAAAGGTTACAGTTTTATTACCCTGGAAGACATTAATCCATTTGTATATAATTTAGCAATCTCATTTCAAGATTTTTCTTTTTTCATTGACTATAAAACCCCCAGTTTTTTTAACATTTTTTATTGA